CCTTCATGCATAAGGCGACCTCTTTTTCTAGCTTGATGGGAGGTTTTCGGCACTCAACCTTGGTTCACCGTGTCACCAAGCTCAGCCGGAGAGAGCGGACCACCTCGACATCCTCGTCCACCTTCCTGCTTTGGAGGGCGTGGCCCTACTCTCGGCCTCCCCCGGAGTTCCCGCTCCATCTCCGGCTCCTTTAGGACCTCATGGCCTTCTCATCAGCCGCGGCATTCTCTACACAGCAGCTCGTCTCGCTTTTTTTGGAGTCTGGCAATCTCCTCTCCCTCCAGCTTAGACCTTGCCGCCAGGTCCTCGAATATCCCGTGGGCCTCCTCCGCGTCCTGACGCGCCTGGGTCTCCCGCTCTTAGGCTGCAGCAAGCTGTGCGGCCATGTCTGCTCACAGCCGGGCCTCCTCGGAGAGGCGATCCCTCCATATACGCTCGTAGAGGGTGGGATTTATTCGACTACGAGCAACAAGAACTGAAGAGGAAGAAGGCTGTATCGAAATGCGAAAACACAAAAACATCTGAAGAAAGAAGAAAGCCCAGAAAATACCTAAGTGGCAGAGATAATGACCTCACGGAGGGCTCCTCTGGCCTGGTCTAGGGCGTTCAGCATGCTTGAGATCCCGATGTCAAGACCCTCCCGCTCCATGCTCTCGGAATGATCATCGAAGCGAGAAAAGAGCCGACGTCGGGTCTGGCGGCCATCCATTGGGGCGGCGGCTCCCCAGCCTGAGGGAGGCGGTTTCCTCCCGACAAAGGGGCGGTGGCGGCTCCCTCTCGACCTGTCTTGGCACCACCGCCCACTTCTCGAGACCCTCGGTGGACTCTCCCCGTCTGGGCCGCTTGGCGCCACGGGTGGATCCCACAGGTCCTGGTGGCACGGATCGCTGCTGCGTCCTCAAGCACCGCCTTGTGCCCGCCGGTGATCTGGCTTGGCGCGGTCACGACCACCTCCACGGTGGTATCGGCCCTCGGCCATTGTTCCACGACCGCCACGGAGGAGGCCGCTTGCTCGATAACCTCCGCAGGCGTGGGAGCCACCATGGGCGCCGTCGGGTCGGCCAACGCAGCCCCGACGTCGGCACCACTCCTGCCCGAAACATGGGTGACTCCAGGCGACGCCGTCTGTCCCGCTTGAAGGCGAGACTCTTCTTGGGCGCCCGGCCCGAGGGGTGACCCGTCGCAAGAGAACTGCACAAAGGTAATAACCATTAAGTCAAAATAAAGTTGGAAAAAGGATGAAAAGCAGAGGAATCAGCAGCTTACGTTGGCGTCCTCGGCGGCGGAAGCGTTTTGGGGATGGATCCCCAGATCCCTGCCCTGACTCATCTGGGCGGGACCGTTTCATGCCTGCCCCCTGCTCCGGGGCAGGGGGGTTCATCTCGTCGGGCGTGGCACCGGAGCCGTCCCCTTCCATCGTCTCACGGGGTGCGGCTGCGGGCTGCTCCCCCCTCCATCGTCGCCTCGAGAATGGCGGCGGCAGTCCGCCCCCATCCACGGTCCTCGGCCCGACGCGCGCCGTCTTGGCGGCGGCGGACTCGCCGGCCCCATCGACCTCATCGATCTACTTCCCTCCGCGTGGAAAGGAAGGGGCCCTACCACGGATGGGAGGCCACTCGTCGGCATGTCCTCGTCCTCCGGGGCGTCCCAATCCATGCGGCGGCTACCTCGTCGTCGTCATCATCATCATCATCATCGTCGTCGTCGTCTCCTCTGCTCACGTCCTCTCCCGATCCCGTGCCTCCTGCTTGATCGTTTTCGCCTTCTTCATCTCTTCCCTTGCTTTCTTGTCCCGCTCGGTCGTGAGTCGATTCGCCGCCGCCATGACCTTGTCCTTCGGCAATGGGCTGGTTGTCCTTAAAGACCAAAGCACCCTCGGTGGTCCCAACGTCATAAAGCAAGTGTTAAAAAATGGAGATCCAGGAAAAAAGAAAAGAGCACGGGAGAGGAGAACTTACGAATTCAAAGAATCTAGGCTCCGGCCGCATTGGGGGGTGTCCGGGCACCGGATACACAATGTCGAGGACCCACTGCGCAGAATCCTTCGTCGGCTCCGTCACCTCCTTGATGCGTTGCGCCACTTCCGAGTAAAGGGCGCCTCGTCAACAAGCACCGTCCCCTCGGCGATATCCGGGCATCATCCGATGCGAGGGAAGCACACAGCGCCATCGAGGCGCCACCCTCCTAGCGTGGTAGGCACGCGATAATCCTGTCCCCTTTACACCCGACCCTTCGTGGCTTGGAGGCGAAAAAAGAAGGTCGGAGATGTGTTTCTTGTCTTTGGTGCGGGCGCTGAGCCCACGACTCCGGGCGTCCACAATAAGGCGTCCGGTGTACTTGGTGAGGGTGGCACTCGCGTCATCCCTAACGTAAAACCACTGCAAGTGCCATCCCTTGTTGGATGTCGCCAGACGCATGTATGGGTAACCCTTTGACCGGGGTATGGCGCGAGATGAATCTTGGCACAACCCATCGGCGCGTTCATGTCTTTCCCCCCAATCTTCCTCTTTGACGGACTAATGGTAAAGAAATACCGCCACAGATCAAAATGGGGATCGATCCCGGAAACCCTCGCGACGAGGGCAACAAATCTTGCCATGTCTTTGAATCCCATTGGGAGTTAGATCTTTGCAGCTCTACCTCATAGTAATTCAATGACCCCCAAAGGAATCTATCTTGTGGGTACCTGAATCCCGCTCATGGAAGATGGCAAAAGAGGCGACATACCCTTGGTGACGCTGGCTCACCCTCGTCGCCAGTAGCAACCACTCTGGGCTGCGACGGACGAGGCCCTCCGAGGCCCTCAGGGGGAGTGATGCTTGATCGCCCCACAACTCCATTAAAGCGGTGAGGGGAAGGCGCAGCTTGAGCTTGGCGGGCGGGTGGAACATGAACGAAGCTTGAGCCGGTCGGCGGTGGCGATCGCTGGTAGCGAGAGGCTGGGGACGATTGGCGGCGGATGTTTTAGAAGCATAAAGCGGGGGCGAAATCTGGAACCTTGGGGTGAACCCGTGGTTTTATAGGGGCGACAGACGCGAGAAGGGCAACCGTCGCCTTGATCTCTAGGCACGCCACGCGCGCCACGCGTCACGTCGCGGGACACGCGCCCATGATCCTTATCCTCTCACCCCAAAAATCTCGGTGAACGGATCGCCTTCCCGAGCGAATCCGGACTCTCTACCCCACAGGAAGCATAAGCCACAAAGGCTGTGCTTTTCTCTTTGGCCCACCTAGGGCCCGAAGCTCATTGGCGGCCCAACTAAGAAAGGATCCACGAGACGATCCGAAATCAAGGACGAAGCACCCGTTAGGTCAGCCCGAATCAGTTCAATGAGCGGGATACCACGACCCATTCGGAAAAATGTCCGGTTGACGAACAATTAAGTCCTTGACCTTACCCGCATGAAGGACCCGATATAACCCCGGGCGACTCTACTCAAATCACCCGGGGGCTCGGGGCTACACCCATCAGGTGCTTTCGCATGCACCCTACGACAAAGTAACCTCGGCGAAATCAAAAAACACCCTCAGCGGTTCTACTCGAATCACCTAGAGGCTCGAGGGCTCTTGTCGGGGACCTAATACGGGTACCCGGAAGGTGGAACCAATAACCACCGAGACGTTAAAAACTTACGGGGCGCATAAGAGCGTTGCTTCACCCCTCACGGGAATGATAGGAGCTTGGTTCCACCTCGCTTCGACGCCTTTGGGGTGGGCTCGGTCTCGCCCGAGGGCCAGAGGCTAGTCTCCGTCTCGCCTGGCGCCTTTAGGGCGGGCTCGGTCTCGCCCAGAGCCGAGGGGTGAGGATAGACTCCGCCTCGCCTTGACCCGGAGGAGAGGAGGGTCGGTCGGTCTCGCCCAGGAGATAGGGATTGGTCTCGCTTGGCCGTGACAAGAAACAAGCCTCACTCTGCTCCATATCTAAAGATTGGATTCATCTTACGACCACTTCTCCTGTTCCTTCAAGATGATAGAGACAGGGCAAGACATGACATTCAGTCAGCCGTGGCTCCAAGAGCCATACCACCGCACCCTGGCGGAAAAGAAATCTTGCCAAGGGGACGACAGGACAGGCACTTTAGGCCCTTCCGAGCGCCGTGAAACTGAAAGGTGTCACAGTGTGAGCTCTCCACCACAGCAGAGTTGTAGGCGCCACCTTGACTCTGGGACACGGAACCCGGCGAAGATATCGACAACCACTACGCTCCGAGAAAAGGATTTGCTATCTCCACGAGCAGCGGATATTCCGTCACTGCGCAGTAGGACCCAAGGGGGCGCCCGCTTCCCGACCCCTCGGTCCACCAAGACGAAGACCTTAGCCACGGCGCTACTCAGACCCGACCCCGCGTCCCTCCGGCGAAGACTCATAGGAACGGAAGCGCGTGGAGCAAGGTGGGGAGGCTCAAAAGTCAAAACCATCATCTGCGGCCCATACCTGCGAGGGTAGCATTACAGTAACCAACCCGACATTCTCTGGGGACATCGAGCGAGTATTATAGGCGTTTATCTTCCTTCGCACTCATCAGAATGAAGGACCAGGCCGGGTAGACGTGAACCACAAGACTAAGTAGAGTACGCATCCTAAAGCCCTCACCCTTGTAAAGCCAGCCCCTTCATCTATAAAAGGGGATGCGCTTCCTCCATAGAGAAAAAGAAAAAAAGATCGAATGAGACGACTCTCAGATACGCACAGTCAAGTTGTGTCGAACCTCTTGACATCCCTTCAACCCTTCCATCAGAGACTTGGGACCAGTCCCTCTCTCGATCGTTTGTACCCCTTACTGCAAACCGTTCACGGTGCTAATAACACGAGCTGCAACAAACTGGACGTAGGGACTTTCGGCCTGAACCAGTATAAATCTTGTGTCCTTTAGCGCACCATCCGAGCCTAACGCGCATTACTATAAATTTACTTGCCGGTGCTTGTACGAAACACCGACAGATTATGAATGACAACAAATTCTGTGTTGATGATCATGATGGTATTGTTTTTGTTCTAGCTCATTTGGATCGTCTTCCCTTTCAACTTCGCAAGTGGAGGATATCAGTTGGTGATATTGTTATTAGTGTATATCCAATTAAAAGTATTGTGCAAAGGACGGGCTCTTCCAGAGCTTTTATGGATATTTCAATAAGGATCAAGGTACCTTTTTCTCTTAATTTTCAAAGAGTTTTTTATTTTTGTATATGTTTGATTGTTTTTTTGTTTAATCATTTTTTTGTTTATGGTTTTTTTTAAAATTTTCCTAGGTTGTTTCTCAAAACAATACAATTGCTCCTGAAGCTGTAGTACCATTTACTTTAGAAATTGAAGTAGTGTCTTTGTTTGTTTTGGACAATCTTGATTTAGTTGTTGGAGACAAATCTCAGCTTATTGCTGCTAAAGGGTTGACCAGTGATAATATGTTGAAATTAGTTGCTCGTGTGTTGAAGCAGAATCGTGGTGGTCATTATCTTTCTATGTGTAAGTTTGCCTACGATTCGAATAATGACATTGTGTATGTCAAGGTGACTGGAGAAGAGGATGCAAATCTGATGGTTGGGAGATCATTTAAGGTTGCAGGCGAAAGGATGTCGTTCTATCGCGTTTTGAGTATCAGTGTTCGTCCAGTAGAAGAAGACTCTTACCAGAGTGCTATATGCCATCGGATTTTCCCTTTTAACTTTTCTTGAGTAGTATGGCTTCTTTTTGAAGAAATGCTTTGAAGTTTGTGGGTTTATTTATGGAATTCTCTAGTTATGTTTGTATTAATTGAACAAGTTTCATATCTAGAACTATGTTTGTAATAAATATTAGTTCTATATGTTTTTAATGGTTTTTGCCCATGTCGTCAATGATTGATATGGAGTCAATTGAATTATTTTCCTTTTTTTCTTAGTGTATTTAAATTTTTTCTTTTTTGCTGTATTTTTTCCACTAAACTGTGCTTTTTAATTTCATTGGCAGGTTTCTTTTCAGTTTGTTAGTTTTGGTGTACATTATATTAAGTTTCAAATAGTTGTAAGTATTCTTCCTTGTTCAACCTTTTTTTTTGTTTTCTTACATTTATATTTTCTGCATGTTCATTTTTTGGATAATTTTTGCCTTTGAAACACCCGTTTGGCAACGAGCCTGAAATCTGGTTGTTATTTGGCTTTGGAATAACACGTTACTGAAAGACAATAAAACAACCGTTTTTTTCCACTACCGAAATCATCAAATTTGCCGAGTGTTTTTATGTTTGCCGAGTGTATTTCCTCGGGCACTCGACGAACAAGTTCTTTGTCGAGTGTAAAAAAAACACTCGGCAAAGAGGGGAAAAACACTCGGCAAAGATAAGGTTTGACGAGTGTAAAAAAAACACTCGGCAAAGATAAGGTTTGCCGAGTGTAAAAAAACACTCGGCAAAGAAATAAAATCTTTTTCTAGAAATGAAGGAGAAGAAAAAAAATAAAAAAAAAGTTTGTCGAGTGTTCAGATCTAGAACACTCGGCAAAGAAATAAAAAAAAAATTTCTGGAAAAGAATGAGAAAAAAATGAAAAAAATACTTTGCCGAGTGCCTAGATCTGGGACACCCGACAAACAAAAAAAAATCTTCGTTAACACACCCAACGCCCCACCCTCCTTCCTCCGCACCCTCCCCCAGCGCCCTCTCCCCTTCTTCATCGGGTCGCTTGCACTTTTGGCGCCAGCTCCCTTTTCTTCCCGGCCCATGGCGCCCCTCCCCTTCCTGGTCGGGCGCCCCTCCCGTCCTCTCCCCTCTCTTCTGGGCGTCCCCTCCTCTCCCTCTCTTCCTCGGATCCGACGAGGCCGCCCCCTCCTCTCCCTCTCTTCCCCGGATCCGGCAGCCTCCCCCTCCTCTCCCTCTCTTCCCCGGCGCTTCCCCGGATCCGGCGGCCGCCCCCTCCTCTCCCTCTCTTCCCTGGATCCGGCGAGGCCGCCCTCTCCTCTCCCTCTCTCCCCCGGATCCGGCGGCCGCCCCCTCCTCTCCCTCTCTTCCCCGGCGGCGGCGGCCCCCTCCTCTCCCTCTCTTTCCCGGATCCGGCGTGGCCGCCCCCTCCTCTCCCTCTCTTCCCCGGATTCGGCGAGGCCGTCCCCTCCTCTCCCTCTCTTCCCCGGATCCGGCGCGGCCGGTGGTGGCGTGGTGGTGGTGGCCGGTGATGGTGTGGTGGTGGTGGGCGGCGGTGGCGGCCGGTGGTGGCAGCTAGGGCGTGGCGGGTGGTGGCGTGGTGGTGGTGGGCCGCGGTGGCATGGTGGTGGTGGCTCGTGGCGGCGGCCGTGAAGCCGGGGAGCGGAGGTGAGACGGAGGGCGTGAAGCTGGGCCGCGGCGCAGGGGAAGGGCACTGCCGAGGAGACCGACGGCGGCCGGCGGAGACCGGCCGGTGGTGTTTTTTTATTTTTTTGGCCGGCGGAGACCGGCTGGTGATGGTTTTTTTTTTCGAAAAAAAATGTTTGCCGAGTGTATTTTGGGCACTCGGCAAAGTCTTTGCCGAGTGTCCGACAAAAAACACTCGGCAAACTAGTGTTTTGCCGAGTGTAACACTCGGCAAACCCTTTGCCGAGTGTTTTTAGGGCTTCGCCGAGTGCCCCTGACACTCGGCAAAGCTCCTGTATCCGGTAGTGTTCTTTTGTCTTTTTTTTTTGTTGTTTCTTTCATTTGAAACAATCGGTTATTGAATGACAACAAAAACAACCGTTTGTTCAGTAGACAAACTCACTATATTTTTCACACGTGGAATATCAGGTGATATTTTTTTCTGCCCGTGTTGCGTCCCTAATCCCTCCCTACGCACACGCACGCCACGAGATAAAAAAAAATCTACAAATCTTAAAAAATGAAGGAGGCACGGGATCTACAAAGATTCACCACGCACGAGCACACAAAATACTAGTACTAGTGTACTGTGTATGCTGTAATCATCGAAGCTTTACGGAATAAGCTTCGGCCACACCCGGGAGGACACGTGTTGCATGGCACATTACTCACTGCTGAGCACTCAGCTCAGTGGAGGGCTTCTGACTGGGCCCGTGACGACGGCTGTCGCCGACGTCCTCGTCGTCCGCGTCCTTGCCGAAGAGCTTCACGGTGTCCTCCAGGCTCTTGCCCATCGTCTCTGGCAGGAAGAAGTACATGAACACCCACCCTGCGGCGGCGATGCAGGCGTAGAGGTAGAAGCTTCCGGCGATGGTGATGGTGTTGGAGAGCGAGAGGAAGGACATGGTGGTGGCGCCGCTCATGATCCTGTTGAGCCCCGTGCCGATGGCGGCGGCCTGCGCGCGCAGCCGCAGCGGGTAGATCTCGGAGCAGTAGACCCAGGCGACGGGGCCCAGGCCGGACGCGAACGACGCCACGAACGACAGCATGGCGGCGATGCTGACCGCGCCCAGCGCCGTGGCCTCCCCCTCGGGGCGCCGGTCCATCATGTGCAGGGACGTGGCCAGCGTGAAGAGGAAGATGGCCATCCCGCCGCCGCTCGCCAGCAGCAGCGGGCGCCGGCCGATGCGGTCCAGGAGCAGCGTGGAGATGGGTATGAAGAAGGTCTTGCACGCGCCCACCGCCATGGACGCGCCCAGCGAGTTGGTCTTGGACTTGATGCCCGCCCGCTCGAACACCCGCGGGCTGTACATGACCACGCAGTCCACGCCCGTGGCCTGCTGGATGAACATGAGGCCCAGCCCGGCCATGAGCATGCGGCGCACGGGGCGGGAAGGGTTGATGAGCAGCTCCTTCCACACCCCGTCGTGGCGCGAGCCCTGCTTGTTGTTGGCGCGGACGATGGCGGCCACGTCGTCGGCGTTGGACACGCCCTCGGGGATGCCGACCACCTTCTTGATGTCGAGCAGGCGCTCCTCGGCCTCGGCGGGGGAGTCGGAGGTCTTCTGCAGTACACGGCGCGCGTCGTCGATGCGGCCCCGCATGACAAGCCAGCGTGGCGACTCCGGCATGGCGAGTACGGCGACGCCGAGGAAGACCGGCGGCACGGCGCCGACCAGGAACATGGCGCGCCAGCTGAGGTGCACGGGCAGGCGCGCGAAGGCGAAGTTGGAGACGTACCCGAGGAGGATGCCGAAGTTGTTGAACACCTCCGGGAAGGAGGTGAGGAAGCCGCGCGCCGACGTGGGCGCCACCTCGGCGGTGTACACGGGGGCGATCATGAGCGCGAAGCCGACGCCGATGCCGGCCACGAAGCGGCCCACCATGAGGAGCCCGTAGTCCGGGGCCAGGCCCATGAGGAGCGCGCCCGTGAAGAAGATGGCGGCCGCCAGCACCATGGTGTAGCGGCGTCCGAGCCAGTCGGAGGTGAGGCCCGCGGCGAGGGAGCCGAACAGTGAGTAGATGTTGATGACGCCGGCGAGGATCTCGATCTGCGTGTCCGTGATCTTGAGGTCCTCCTTCATGAACAGCTGCGCGCCGCTCATCACCGAGATGTCTGCTCGATCGTATCGATGGCCGACCAACGAAGAACAGCTGTGTTAATTACGTGCATGCTTGCATGATGAACGAACTACTAGCAGCTAGGACGCGCGCGAGGCGGAATGAAATGCACGTCCGTACGTACTGGGCACAACCGAACCTACCATAGCCGAGGAGGACAGAGTTCATGGAGGCGAGCAGGGCGCAGGCGCAGGCGTACTTGTTGATGGGCGGGCGCTTCGCCGGCGCCACGGCGACCGCGACGGCGTCCGTGCCCGACGTGCTCATGGCCAAGTGTCGGTGGTGTAGATCTACCGATTATTGGCACTAGCTTTCGTTCTCTGTACTGGCCGTGTCCCGGTGTGCCGGCCGGCCTCTGGCTCGGTTCTCTCTCACTCTCACTCTCTCTCACGCTGCTCGATTATTGGTGTACCAGCAGCGAATGCCGCCGGAGTTACCGTGCCTTCTCGCTCCTCGCTCTTCGCTGCTAGTGAGTGCTAGCTACGTGAGGCAGAGGCAGGCAGGCCGAGTGGTCCTAGCGTGGTGGCTGGCTCTGCAGGCTGGCTAGTCCTTGGCCCTGTTATTATATAGGGAGCATCCGTGACTGTGTACAAAAGAAGAGTGGAGGGCGATCAGTGGACGCTCACTGTCCCGGCAGATCACGTGCTCTGCTCGTGCAGGGGTACAAAATGGCCTGTACTTCTCCTGTTCTCCCAGGTGAGTGAGTATACGATGACACACCGTATTTGGACAACGTTGGTCCCAGAAAGTCAGAGACATGTCGAATCCAGTCATGGTCTTGACCGAGTCAACTGTACGGAGCGTGAGCGAGTGTACTACTCCAATATTATGGATGGGAAGCTCCAAAGATCCAGGCATCCAGCAGGCGGTTTCTGTAAGAGAACGAGTGTTTATTACTACTATCAGAGTACCAGGCACCCGATCGGCCGATCACCGTATACATCCTACCTAGTACGTACTTACGTACTCGCTTAACTGCTAGTATTAGTGATGGATAATGGATGGATGGTACTGCATACCTCACACGTCACGCTCGGCTTCGGCAAGCCCCGTGCCATTGGCCACACCAGCGCGCGCTGCAGCATTTCCAGTTTTCCACTGCGACTGCGTCAAGGCGCCGCCACCCTTGCATCCTCCGGCACCAGCACACCACGCTCGCGTGCCGCCCGCCGCCACCTCGTCGGCTCGTCGCTCGGTCGCTGTTCCGTTCCTCGGCGCATCCATAAGCACTGCTCAACTAAACAGTTATTTAGATACCATGTAAACGCTACACGGTGTTACGCTATTTTCGTTTAATCAGTCGTTTAGCTCGTTTACCGTTGTGTTTAGGATAATATTGGTACGGAGCTTGTTTGCAACTGCGAGTTCGTTCTCTGTTCCTGAGATGAGATAAATACGCCGCATGTAACCGCCATTCTTCTCTTCTGCTTACTTCTGTTCCTGAGGTAACCAAACCGCAGGTTGCCAGTTTGTACGCACACCACACATACATACCGTGGACGACATCATTTCTTTTCTTTGTGACCGAGACTCTATACACTTTGAAGTACTCAATAGCGAACCGTGATCTGGACTTATGCTGCTACCATTTTTTTTCTACTGGTCGTCACGTCGATTTTGACGTCGCAACACACGCTAGCCAGCAGGGCGGCTCTGCTAGGCAGCTACCACCACCTATTGTTAATCACATATGCTACGCAGCGCGTTGCTACTACATCAACCGAGCTATCACGAACTCGTACGTTCAAGCGTAATCCTCACGCCTTTATTGCGTCCATTAAGGTGATGATCAAGGATCTGCAAACACACACACGGCCTGATCAGGATTGTGTACGTGGCCTTCGCCCAAACGGAGATATATATCCGTGCAACTCGTGACTCACGGCACTGCCACGCGCCCTGCCCGTTTTGTAGCCACGAACCACGGCGAGCGAGCATCCAGCCTTAAGCTCGCCGAAGCCTTTGCGTCGAGACAGCGGCGATCACCTAAGGCCGTCGCAGGCAGTCCCCGGTCGAGCTTCTGTATTCTCTGGTCCCTGTTCACCGGCAACAAGACAAAAGCTGGGTGGCTTCTTCCATCTGCACCTTTATGCGTGAACAATGTTGCACACACTGGCGGTCTTTCCTTCCCTGAGAGAGAACTGCCATCACATTGGTAGTAGTAGTTACTTTTGTTGAGTGCAAGTTAATCAAAGACGCTGCAACCGACAGGTATATTTATTTCCTCTTCCCTGCTCGTCAGCAATAACAAGACATTTAGCTTGTTTCCGCGAACCTGACCGACTTGTCAATTCAGTTTCGTCAGGTATTATTCTGTGACAGGCACCCGTATCCTATGCGGTCGGGGACGACGGACCGAGCCCGAGCCGGGCGAGAAAACCGGTGAAACACCTAGGCCGCACCGCAACGGAGCAGAGCGGGGACGGTGGTCCACGAAAGCGCAGCCGCCGAGTCCCCGAGCGACTCCGGGCGTGTGTGTGGCGCAGAGGCGGCCCGGCGTCTCCGCATCCATCCAGGCACTGGTGGACTCGCCGTGCCGGGCGACAACGACGCGACAGCGCCGCCGGCCAGCGAAAGGACGCGGAGAAAGAAGCTTAGCTTTAGCTTGCTATTGCTATCCTTGGCGCGCGGGGACGCGCGGTTCGCCTACCTCGTCCCTCTTGTCCATTTGCCATCACTGACGCTTGGAGCTTACTCCACCGCCTTTTTACTCCCGGTTCTTTTCACGGCGATCCGTCCCTCACCGGGGATCGCGTTCGGACGGCTGCACCTGTGAGGTAGCTGCGCCGGGTTATTGACTCTCGCGCGCCGGAGCAGGGATTCGGAATCTTGCACCGTACCGTGGCATGCATTTTCTTCAGAGGTTCAGAACCACCAATATGCCTATCTTTCCCGGTGCATCGGGGGTTCAAAGAGTCCGGTACCTACCTTCGCCCTCGACACTATAGGACCACGACGTTAAAAATCTGACACTTTAGTGCTCCAACCAGTTGCTCCCGTACACGTTGTCTCCCAGTTCACTATCGGAGCCATCTTTCCAAGCTAGAAGATTGGAACTTTGGAAGCATGGATCCACACACCGTGGTTCAGCTTTAACATCGTGTTTCTCCACCCACATTATAGTATTCTTCTTTACTTTACTTTCAATCAGAGCACGCAGGTCTCTCAGTAAGCAACCATTTTGAATGGTTACCCCTGCTTCTCAAGAAAACTCTAAAGGCACAGCTTTGTCCGGCTTACTAGGATCATTATCGTACTCGTACCTGAGTTCTTCCCACCATGTCAGTAGAATCATGACGATTGACGAGGATGACAATCAGGCAGGCATATGCTGATCTTTTCCACTACCAGAGGAAGCAGGACCGAAAATACCTTGGACTGATACAACGCTCACCCTTTTCTTTATTTAAGTTATTTGAGCAGCACTGCACTGTGAACATCATATCGTTGGGGACGATGAAAAGACTAGCAGGACACCAAGATAAGTATATATGCAACTGTAAGCTTCTTTTCAGTGGGGGGCAGGCAGAATCAAGACTAGTAGTTTGATTTTTGATGGATCAACTATATCCGACTTTATCTATCCTGCAGCCTTCATCATGATGTCTGATTGATTGTGTAACAATAGACGAGTTAGACGCTGAGGAAGATAATATATATAGATGTGGCTTTTGCAAGGGGAAGGATAAGATTCACTCAACAGTTGTCGTTTCTGCACTATCGGATGCATGGCCATTGGCCAGGCCATTCTTGGCATGCTGCAAAAGAGATGCTTGAGCTCAACTACACGCATACTACACCGATTGGAGCAATGACCGATTCGGCAATTAGCAGTGCTCAATTCCTTGTGCATGATGATCTGGATCCCTGGATATAGATACGCTGAGAAAGATCACCCCGTTGAGCAATCCGAAGCTTAGGAGCGAGACGTGGCATACATGCCTTGTGAGCGCACCAAAAGGACAGTTCTGATTTGCTCTACGCTTTTGCCCTTTTGATTGATCATCATGCCTTTTTCACCCCTCTGATCCTTTTGCTCTGATGTTATGTATGCACCCGTGTCCCTTCGATGCTGATCCACGCTTCCTCTACAGGTACGTATGTGCTTCTTGTGTTGGGGGCTTGGGGCCAGAAGAAGAAACCAAGAAAGCATGAGTTCATCATGGTTTCAGACCAGCTGCCATTATCCCAGCAAAGGATCGGAAGAGGTAAAGGAACAGGACATATGCAGGCAGTAAATCTGAAGGATGCCTTCGTGTGATGCCTGCAATCTATGAAAAATCCTGTGACGATGACCATCATTCTGAACCCTAACGCACAGTGATTGGACGCGGCAGCTCAGAAACCGGATAATGGCTTCTAGGAGAGATGCGGGCCATGATTTCACGCATGATGAACCCAGAAGTTGGAGGAGAAGAGGTGGAGCCCGCTCCCAAAAGCCTGATGCTGATTAGGGATAAGCAGCGGCCACACCGCGTGCGTGTGGATTCAACAGAATACAAAAGGGACTGAACCGCCCATCCAATCCAATTGCGTGGACGCATCCATCATCATCCGGCTGCAATGCAAATGCATCGCTCGTGTATTGTAATGCTGCTGTCTTGGGCTGGGATTCCGCTCTGGTTGGAGGCCGGCCGGCAAAAAAGTCCGCGGCGAGAGGGATCGTCAAACCGAGAGTGGCTCCTGCACTAACGGAGCTTCCCCATCATCTCATTATCATATCATTGCGCCTAACTCCGCCGTACTGCGTGCGATGCGATGCGCACGCGTGCACACAATGCCTTGCCTTTGCTCCTCCCGTGCCTGGAATGCCGTCAGATCAGCTTGTCGTCTTCGCCTTCCTGTGCTGCCGATAGGAAAGGGAAGGGACCGGAGAAGGTCAGTCGTGCGTACGTGCTGCGTGTGCATTTCACGCTTGGCTAGTCTGCAGCTTGCAGTGCACATGGCTGTACTGTATGTGCGTTGCATTCTCAAGTCTTCATATCAGGGTACTGAATGGCGGGTGAGGCCTCTAAATCTCATGTGAAGTAAGGACTGCAGATGAATAGGTTATCTGTCCTCTCGATGTGCCATTACGCGTATCGTCACCCCGTTCATTATTCGTCTTGTACACGGCTGCTAGGAAACGCAGCCATCTGAGCCTTTTGTTCTCTTTCAGCGCCGCTTTCATATCATAGGGGTGTCCGTCCGGTGTCCCCCGCTGGTGCAGGCGACAGGCCGAGATGTGTCGTCGTCGGTGTGAGGACTTTGGAACCGTGCGCAGAATGGCCGCATTCCAACTCGGTGCTGCTCCTCAGATTTGGTGGACGGCGTGACAGTATTGCATGTCTCCAATGGAACGGTACGTCTTGCGTTTAAGCTAGCTGTCACGCTCGACGAGTTAACAGGCTGAGAAAAATATCTCGTGTTAAAACCTGAGAGGCTGGTCTCCTGCACGGGCGGGTAATTTTAAGCGAGACTCCATATATGTGCTTTGACATAGGATTTGTTGAAAGTAGAAAAACTTTAACTTTAGATGCGTTTTGTCAAAAGAACTGATGTGCTCACCACTTCCTGCATAATGCATATGTGTTCATGTTGTAACCATTCTACTACTTTGTCCAGTTAAGCATTATTTGGATAAATTCGTCGATCGCTCTCAATATTTGTGGATTAGAGTAGAAAATAAACTAATTTTCTGTCTTAAACTCTTAATCCCTTTCAATACGTATGAAATTAAGAGGATTGTAACATTTCCAAACAAACTCTTAGAGCACGGACTGCTTTTTTTGACAGGGCCATGACTGAAACAAACAAGTACGCCCGATATATAAAATAATATGTATTCCGCACCATTCGACCGAAGACGCGCAAATCGCAGTATATATTCTGTAAAATTCAAACTGCGCTTTTCATACAACTTGGTATCCTAAAGTGCAGAACCAATCATCTATAGCATACACTCTGTTTCAAGGGAAAAAATCAACAGGGTACAAGACTCTTATATGGTGGGGACACGTGATGCTGTAATCTGAGGCAGGAATACCCAATCCAAGCAAATATCTCAATACCATTATTGGGATAGGTTCCAAGCCCACTAAAAAATATGCGACGCTAGCGATACGGAGGCAAACACGAAAGAAATCGTGACCATGACGAGCATATACGCTCGTGTGCTGGAGAAATTAAATCCTGACGCCTTGACAATTGACACAAGTGCCTCTATTTGACACCACTTACACTCGGATAGCGTGCTAGCAGAATGCCGAATTTCAGATCAGATTCTTCCTCTCATATTGTGGCAAGATGGCGCCATGCCTCCGAAGTTTGAGGTGACTTTTTTTTTTGAAGGTTCTTGTGGCTTTATGCCTGTAACCGACAAGGTTAGGGCGTTGGACCCGTAATTTAGCCCACGATAGCCCAAGCCCATGGTGCGGTTTTCTTCTTCGGTTCATCAGGTCCGACTACTGGTCGAATGCACCAACTACTCTCTTAAAGAAAAATGCGCTTTTACAGTCTAAGGCCCTGTTTGGTTCCCCTGCTAGTCACTTTAGCTACTAAACTGTCAAACAAATTGATTAAAAATGGATTAAAGCAGTTTAGTCACATTAGTACCCAAGGTGCTAAAGTGGGCTAAAGTGCCGGGCTGCCCCTTATTATTGCTGGTCTCTCACCTTGATTTGTGCATTCATTAGGGATAGTTTGGTCTTCGTTGAGCTGTTTTAACGGCCTTTAGTCACTTTTAATGGTCTTGTTAAATAAACTTACCAATTCTGGAAGAAGGAAGTATCGTTATTGTTCAAGTTTGCTCCTCGAGCTTTAGAGTTATCTCTATCAACTCACAAAATTGTTTAAATAACCCCCTGCTTTAGTTTTGTTATTTCTAATTAAAATCTTGGTAAACACATGGCAAAGGCTTTTTAACCGCAAAAATATCTATAAGCTTATGATTTTTTAAGAAAAAAATCCTACTAATAGGTCGGGATACTATAAATCAAAAGAAAATATTTAGAGCTCCTGTAAATATATGTAGCAGTTTCAAGAAAATATATTTATCCTGACAAACTATAAAAAATATTTAGAAGTTTTTGGAAAACATTAAGTTTTTTTGGAGGGAATCTAATAAATGTCAAGTGAATTTAGCTCGCGAGCCGGAGAATCAGCGGCCCAACATCTAGCCCAGCAGAAGCATCCGAAACCCAACTGTTGCTAACCCTTGAGCCCAACTCGGCCACTCCCTCTTGCGCGCAGCCCAGAACCCACGGCGGCGGCGACACCCCCTCTACCGCCCAGATCTCGCTCCTCGCTATCGTAGCTCGTAGGCCGTGAGCCGGAGACATGGGCGGGGGCGGGGCTGCTGGCAGTATGGCACGGGCACGGGCACGGGCTCGATCTCGCATCTTGGTTTGCGATTTCACCAGGAATAGTTCCCGTCCCCTTCCGGCCGCCAGATGCCATACGCTCAGGTCACCACGGCGCCTCCCGGCGTGTCGACGACCGGACTCATTGACTCCAAGGCTCACGGGCATTGGCTTTCGACTTCGAGTCGGGGAGTTCAGATCGCGACTTCTCTCTCCAGCAGCAGGACAGCAATTCCTCCCCCAAGTTCTGCCTTCCAAAAGGGAAAAGGCCGTAGCATCCGCCTCCACGCCCGGCGCTGATGCTGCCGTGACGCCGCCGGGCTCGGGGGAAGCGCGGCGCCAGCGCGTCGCTTGCCTGCAGGTTTAACTCGTTCACTCGCGCGTTCCTCCCATTTTCTCTCCGTAAAAAGCTCCTTTACCGGCAGGGTTGGCCGTGCTTCTGTTCTCCGCGTGAACGCGGGTCGCATGCCAAGTATTCGTGGAAATGTGCGTGTAGCATTTGAATTTTCTCTGCCAAGTGTTTGTGGAAATGTGCGTGTGGCATTTGAATTTACTCTCGGCCCTCTCAGGCTACAGTGAGTCGGCCACCTCTCCTGCACTACTTTGCCATCTTTATTTTTGTGGCGATGATGTATCGCCTAATCTGCTATCGTCCTTCTTGAATGTACAATATTGATTGTCGCCTAACCCGCTAATCGTCTTTGAATGTACAATATTATCACACCACGTGTTTGGTGTCGTTATGTAGTTTATTCTACACCTGCTGCGGCCACGTCATTGTGAGCCTTAAATAACTAAACCATATTAGGAAGAAAGAAGAAAAATAAGTGGATAAATTTAATGTAGAAAGCGAAAGGGAGAGGGGAATCATGTGAAGCCTCTCGTCACGGCATGTTCGCTGGTTAGTTTCTAGGCTGATAAGTTTGACTAATGCTGGTTTGTTGTGAGAGAAAAACAGACTAATAAGCCCTGGCTAAAACCAACGAGCAATCAAGCTGTCTGTAAACAAACTAAGGCATGTCAACACCTCAACAGGACAACCGGTACACGTCGATGTAATATGAGGGACCAGCTTATGGATCTTTCTGTGACTACTACAGTTTTTGCCTAGTCCGACATTCCAGCCCTGGCCACAATTAGGTTTCTCTAATTCGACTGTCACATGCACCTGGTTCTTGTTGCTCCCGTTGTTTCTTCCTCAACCTCCTGAGCTCAGCTGCGACTGCCATGGATTCCAAACCCATGTTAGTTTTCTTGCCTGTCTCACTTTCTGTTCTGTTTCTCCGTGCTGTTTGCTGGCCTCTCTTGTTTGTTTGTTTGTTTGTTTGTGTTACTGTTGATTTGATCTCTTGTTCTTGTTGAGAAAGCAAGTAGACAGGTGAAAGGAAAGGTTCAGTACAATTTGCAATAATTTTGACATTCGTATATTTGGGTATGATGCGCTCTGCCTCCATTTTCCCCTTTTCTTCAGAATAATTCTCTCATTGTTCTTGTTCAGGGAAGCATTTGTGGCAAGTGAGGCCTCCGTCTTCATGAATCAGCCCCCTCCACATGTATGTATGCTGATGAACTGGTCTCCTTTTCTGCTATTCTTGCACCTTTTGCCTCTTATTTATAGTATAGGCATAAGACTGATTTTAGGAGACTTCAATCTAGTCGGTGGAAGGAACATCATAGAAGAAATAATATACACTTCTTAGCCCATGGCTTTCTTTTATTTTAAGTTCACTTTCTTAATAAGGTTTCTATGAGTCGCAAGCATTTCTTACAACCTTTGCTGAAAGTTTATTTAACATTTTGATCACCTTAGCTGAAAATCCAGAAGTTTCCAGCTCTGTCAAGCTTCAAAGTATGGCGACAGTAGCAGTCCTGTTTTAATTAATGCAAAACCCTGAAATTGTTTGCTGAGTCTGAGATATATAATGGAATCTGCACTAAGTTTATAACAGAGGTTTCAGGCTCAGCCATATCCTCAGTCTTCATGTGTTTGCTTAACAATTGAGAGTTGAAATTTATGAGGTAATATTATGATACATTAGCAATATGAATGATGCGATGAGGCAACCATGAGAATTATCAGTTTTGTCATGCAACCCCAGAACAGCACTGTTGCATGTTGACATCGTATTTCAGTTACTTGATTGCATTAAGTTTTAGGATCTAAATATTTCTAATGTTTTTGTATCTCATGGATATATTTCTATAATCCTTAATGCATTCTGTGAGAGAGCATGACAACTGTATTTTCTCTCTGTACGTGCAGATGTCTAGACCATCAATTATTATCAAGCTCATTTTGGGGTTGCTGTGGACCATCACCCACTTAGCAATCAGCTTTTTAAATTTATGGTCTCATCTGATTTATAGTCTAGAATGCTATCTTATTTCATCTGGATTGTTGCGAAAGTATCAGAATCTTCATCTGGGTAGACTGAAGTGCTTGGCTATTGTGGTAGATAGCAAAGAAGCTAAAAGTACTGTGAAGGTCAAGCAACTGTTATGCTGGCTCTCATCTATGGGTGTGAAGTATGTATGTCTCTATGACATCGAGGGTAAGACAATGAGTTCAACATTTGAATTGCAGGGTATGGCTGTTTTCAGTCTGAAGTTTGTTGTTGACTACTTATCTGCCTATATGATCATTCCTTTTCTGTAAATAAATATGGTTCATTAGAAATCAAATGACTTCAAGAGGCATTACAGAGCTGTCATAACCTGGGCAGAGCAAAACTAACTTTCCTGTTATCCTTTACATGTCATATTGTGATGTTTTTAGTTGACAGATGCACAATCTTTTTTTCTTTTGAGACCTATAGACTGAATCTAGCACGTACAAGATTATCTTACACTATTCTATGTTGCATCATAGGAGTACTGAAGAGATCATTTGAACCTGCTGTGAATGTTTCAAGAGATAGGACTGCAGGAGAACATTTTGTAAGCTGCACTATGGAGCTTTCTGCTACTCCATTTTATATTAGGATCTTACTTTTGTGTATATTCTCTACTGGTATGCTTGTCCATTTTGTTGTTGTTGTTTGTAAATCTGTATTATGATTCATGGTGACATATAGGGCATTGGAGCAAACATCAAAGATCTACACCGTAGCCAAAGAGAGATGGTGATAGACTGTCTTTCTGGTTCTGATGGCAAGGAGGGTATTGCAAAAGCAGCCAGTTTACTTTGCTCAACTTACTTCAATGGTGATACTCATGGAGATGGCAAAAGGAAACCAGCATTTACAGAAGCTGACATGGCTAGTGCACTGAAAGCTGTAGGTATGCTTGGAAAAGTCACCCTTTTCTGCATGCTTTGTTTCATATACTTATTTAGTTATTTATCATGCTTTAATGACTTTATCACTTAAGTTCTGACTTCATCCATTAGGTTGTGGTGGACCAGAACCTGATCTTCTTCTCATGTATGGTCCTGCTAGATGCCATTTAGGATTTCCTGCATGGAGATTACGGTATACTGAAATTACGTAAGTTCTTTATCAAAACATTAATATTCCTAACTGCGAAAATAATCATCACAATTGACAAATCTCCAGGTATATCACCACAATTGACAAATCTATAATATTTCTTGTTCCAGGTATATGGGGCCACTAAAATCAATGAAATATGGTGCCATTGTGAAAGCCTTATATAACTTCTCAAAGAAACACCAAAATTATGGTAAGCTTGCTTTTCCATATTTGCAATGTACTACACTGAAATTAACCTTTAGCGTTATAACTTCAACATTTTCGGCTGTGTCATAAATTTTTCTTCTTATAGGAGTTCTAGCTCTGCCTTGAAGTGTCCTTTGTTATCAGTTTTGCAGATACGCTACACTAACTAGGGTTGCACATGCTTTGTAAATGTGCTGGCAACATGAGTGTGCTCTGCTCTGCCAAAGGGCGCCTAGCTCAAACGGTTAGATGACCCAGCGGTACTCCTCAGGTCCTGAGTTCGACTCCCCGTGGGAGCGAATTTTAGGTTGAGGTTAAAAAAAATCCCCTCATCCGTTCCCATAACCAAAGCACCGGGGGGGGGGGCACCGGCTCAATTCTCACTTGGGTGACGGAAAGCCACCGTGTAAGGGTGGGTTCGGGGGTTTTCTCGGCCGGGTGAGAAGGTCCTTCTTCTTATTTGTAATGTTGCGGGGGCAGTCTTAACCCCCCGGTCGAGGTTTTTTTTTTTTGTGCTCTGCTCTCACTTTTTCTGTGGTTCCCACACATGTCTTGTGAGATCTGAATATCTTAGGCATTAATGTGTATCTGGTGAGATCTAAATATCTTCGGCGTTGATGTGTGGAAAACAGTGTCCCTGAATGTGCTAGCACATTTTGATGCCTGATTAGTTAGTGATTAGGAATAAATATTTGCTCTTTGGCTGACTCCAAATCTTTTCCATCTCAGGGAAATGATATTTGATACTGGTTTAAAGAAACCATTTGATCATGGAGAAACAACACCTTGGAGCTACTCTACAGTCTGCACCCGTTAGCTTCTGCTGCTGCTTACTGGAGTACAGAAGTACTTAACGTTAGACATTACCATCGACATGGACTTCGTGTTTGCTTGTAACAAGATCAGAAGTGTGTTGTCGATAGAACATACATACGGGATAACATCCCACTGCAAAAGTACCGCCCATAGCGATGAGCAATGAAAGAACCACAAGAAACCTAACCATCTCATCTAATTTTGCCTATGCTATGATTCCTAATGATTTATCTGCTTTTGTTGGATTACTACGGCACTGTCCATGTCAATCTTTAAAAAGGAACGATATTGAAAATGAATTAACCTGGGGAATGGAATTAGAAGAAATTGCCCTATTCGCTTGGCTGATAAGCCATGGCTGTAAGTACTATCGGTTAATTTATTGTGAGAAAAAATACTATTCGTTGATTGAAAAAAATATAACTTATAAACCATGCGAACAGGACGATTTAGCCGTGTTCTGTTTGCTTTCAGCTGGGACTGGGTGAGCCTGGTACCGAGTGAGACTGACCGGGCTCGTCTCTGGCTCTCTGCCTCTCTGGTCTCTCTGCTCGTCTCCAACCTTGAGACTCTAGAGCCCACCAAACCCAAAGCCCTGGCCTCTCCGTCCCTGCCCGGCCGTCCCCCCATGTCGTCGCAGTGCCCCTACTGCCGCGCGTCGGGGCCGGCGCGGTGCGCGACGACGCAGCCGCCGCTCTCGCGCGCCGTGTCCGAGTGCTCCGCCTGCGCCCGCATCGTCGTCGAGCGCCACCTCCACACGCACCCCTTCTTCCCCCTCCTCCCCTTACTCCATCCGCTTCCCCTAGTCACCCCCGACCTCGCCACCGCCGTCGATCCCGCTCCCGCCCCCTCCCCCGGAGACGAAGATGACGAGGACCCCTTCCTCCCCGCGGGCTTCGTCTCCGCCTTCTCGGCTTTCTCCCTCGAGCGCCACCCCGTCCTCGCCCGCTCCGCCTCCACCTTCTCCGGCCTCCTCGCCGAGCTCGAGCGCGCGCTCGCCGTCGACTCCGCCGCCGCGGCCTCCAATCCGGACCCCGCCGGGCCCATGGTCTCCGTCGAGAACCTCCGCGCCTACCTCCAGATCGTCGACGTCGCCTCCATACTCAAGCTCGACAGGGACATAGCCGACCACGCTTTCGAGCTCTTCAAGGATTGCTCGTCCGCGACCTGCCTCAGGAATCGGAGCGTCGAGGCGCTCGCGACCGCAGCGCTCGTTCAGGCTATCCGCGAGGCGCAGCAGCCTCGGACGCTGCAGGTTTGTTTGTGATTCGCACACGCACGCCATGTGTTTGTTCTATTGCTCTAGTGCAGCAGAGATGGGTATGCCTAGCTGCGAAAGCATAAGCATGCGTTTATTCAAACAATTCGTATTTAGTACTGGTTATTATATGGATAATTATAGTTTTGGAAACACCAAATCTTGCTGTTACTCTAGATTTGATTTCTTGGAATTGGGAATTGTGTGAGTAAACTCAAATATGCTAATGGATTCAATTCTAAAAGATATTACTGGTTATTATATGGATAATTATAGTTTTGGAAACACCAAATCTTGCTGTTTCACAAGATTTGATTTCTTGGAATTGGGAATTTTGTGAGTAAACTCAAATATGCTAATGGATTCAATTCAAAAGATGTGCTACTTTCCAGCATACTCCTCCATCCCAGAAATAAGTTCGTTTTGGACATGATTTAGGATACCAAGGAGTGATTTATTGGGGTGTATTTTTCCTGTCTACCCTTATTAAATAGAGTTGCGGGTATCCTCCATACAACAAACGTTTCCAGCTGGAGTGGTAAGCACACCACGGCCTGAGGCAGGAGATCACGGTTCAATCTCTCTCAGCCTCTGTTTTTTGCAGAGCTCGCGATTGCATGCGGGCTGCTGGCTGCGTTAATCACGCCCAGGAAAGAAGAGGCGTTAATTACTGCCGAAACGAAGAGGCCGTGCCGGGGGCAAACTAGGCCCATTTCAGCTTGGACCACAGAAAACGAATTCATTTGTGAAAAAGCTCCAAAGCTTCAGAACGAATTTTTTGTGGGATGGATGGAGTATTGAAATAGCCCACCAAAGTCACCGAGTTAATTAGTGTTAGATCACCGAATTCAGTGTCCTTTAGCCATCATATCTAGTTATCTACCATGATGTTGTGCTTGCCATTAACATTGATGGAAAAAAAAAAACTTAGTTACCTCACTGTATGTAGACTGATGTTGTAGCTAATACTTATCAGGGTATCTTTAACCCTGTTGTGAATACCTGAATTCATCACAAACCATTTTAATGTTGCTTCATTGACAGCCAATGAACCAAATGCTTGTCCGCTTCGGTTATGTTTGATTTTTACACAAACACTTGATGTAGCATGCATTTTCGCTTAATGCATATTGGTTGATTAGACATTGTCTGCTACTTAGGCAAGACCCAAGAGATCTCTATGATAACAATCTACCTCAGAAATAGATAGCAGGAAAAACTTTTAAAATACCTGACAAATATCTGAAACTTGGTATACTATTCATGTCACACTAATTTTATCAATCACTACCAATTCACCTTCTGCTTCTATTTGAACAGGAAATCTCTACTGCTAGCAATCTACCTCAAAAGAGATAGGAAAATACATCAAAATACTAAGTGAATCTCTGAAACTGAGTCAACCACTTAACAGCAACTCAATAGCTGTCCATATGCCCCGATTTTGCAGTTTGCTCCAGCTGAATAAATCTGCTCAGGTACCAGATGATCTGAAAAACCTGTACTGAAGCATTATGCTGAAAACCAATATCCGTTTTAATATATTGTATGTCTAATCTTCAGGAACTTGCAGCTCATATTGGTGAGGTGGTTGTTAATAAGTGCTTCTGCACACGGCGGAATCCATAAGTATATCTGCTGCTGCTATCTACCTTGCATGTCAGCTTGAAGACAACGCATAAAACTCAGGCAGAGATCTGTAAGGTTCTGGGCCTCACAGAGGTCACACTCACATAAAGTGTACAAAGAACTGTTGGAGAATTGGGATGATTTGCTCCCCCTGACTATACACCTGCCACACCACCAGAGAAAGCTTTCCCATGACCAACATTTACTCAGGGCGCTCAGCAAGTGGCAAGGATCTGTATCAGGATAAGATATTCGAGAGTATTAAGCAAAAATGCCCTGAGCCTGCAGAGCCTGACCACATGGTCATCGTGAAAGAAGAGGAAGACAAGAAAACAATTGCTCTTGGTCGTCCACCTACAAAACCTGAGGCTCATGAGTTAGGCAAGGTGTTCCGGCCACCAAATGCCCCTTTCTCAACATCTCCTAAATCTGATCGTGACAAAACTGAAACTAGCGTTCGTGGGTTCAACCTTAATGAGGTATCATGTGCGATGGATTCTGATAGAACAGACATCACAGTGAAGCCAACTTTCGGTGATCGATTGTCGAATGAATCGAATGCGATTCCATCTCCCAACAGGCAGCCTTTACCGTGGCAGCTTAAGCAGGGGGCGCCTGCAACTGGTCCATCATATTCAAGGCTTCGCGAGCAGCAGTCGGGCCTGGATCTTGTAGCTGCTCTGAAGGGAATTGGGAAAAGGAGTGTTGGGGATGGTGTTGATGGCCGGGATAGAGAAGGGAAGTGAATAGTTGGTTCTTTGTTTTTGTAGATGTATGTCTGTAGTAGAGTTAGTTTGGCCACCTCTGTGGCTCTTGTCATTCTGTATTTCTTTTGCACCCTGCCGAGGCTGTGAAACGTTACTCCAGATGCTTTAGCTTCTGTAGTAAAGTTTCCGAATTATTTACCTGACTAATTTATCACTATGTTTCGTGCAATGAAATGTAGTTCCTGTAATCCTATTATTTGAGCACTGGTATGCCCGTATGGACAGTCTATCCAGGCAAGAAGGTAACTACTGATTGTTCCTTTCCTTCAGACGATGAAGTTTATGCCAGCCAGATCGACACCGTAACTTGCATAGTTTTATCTGAAGTCACAGTAATATCCAATTCCATGATCTTCTTTGAGAGTAATGCTAGAGGAGGTAAAACTCATCCAAGTTTGCCCTGGAGCCAGCAAAAATCCAGACACCTCGCTTTGAAAGCAGCAAAGCTGGAGGGGCTCAAGCGCAAATGCCCCCCGAATCGGATAATACGCCGCGATAGCGAAGCAGAGGTCTTCCAAAACCCAACGCGGCGAACGGCTACTGCTCCTTCCTCTCCTCTTCCCCCTCTCCTCCCCTCCGCCATGGCCGTCCCCATCTCCACCTCCACCTCCTCCACGCTCCCTCTCTTCTTCCTCCATCGCGGCACCGCAAACCCCTAGCCCGCGGTTCTCTCCTTCCCGTCCTCCCTCCGTGGCGTGTCCCTCCGCTCCCAGGCCGCCGCCGCACCGCCTGCAGAGACCCTTTCTGACGACGGCATCCCTGACGCGCCACCGGTACGTGACTATACTGATATTGCCGTGTGGTTTCGAGCACGTGGAGTCCAAAACCTGTGAGTTTCATGGTGGCGGACCGGCGTGTAGCGGTGTAGGTATACGCGGTTCCAGGAATTCCGCGTGGGCTCTGGGGGTTACAATCGGCATTGGTTCAGTTCGCACCCGTTAGACCTTGTTCATTCGGTGACTAAAATCGATACTCTTTCAGGAAGGGGAGGGAACGGGAATTCCGTTGCCATCGTCGATTGGGGATGATGGGGAGCAGGTACATTTCCTAACAGCTAAAAATTCTCAAATTATGTTACTGAATCTTTTGTTCTAATATTGTTGCTGCCATGATCGATTGAACTGTGAAAAGTTATTACTCCATATAACATGTTTCTCTTTTATTGCTGCATTGTAGTGCACATTTTATTTGTAACTGTATAATCACTATAAATGGAGAGGATGATGTACTCAGGGTATCTGTGTAAGTAGCATTTAGAAATGGGTCAGGATGCAACGATGCTACTTGGCATGGTTACATTAGTGGAGTGAATTAATCCCCTTACTCAAGCTTTCTTTGGAGTGTTAGAAAATGATAGACAATATCACAGTCAGTGCATTTGTTTAAGCCGTTATTCTTACTGTAAACTATTGTTCATGTGAGTGCGATTTGGACTTCAGAAATGTATGCTTTGTAAAAGTCCATATCATGTTAGACAGTTTAGCATCCTTAATGCTTAAGTTATGCATAGTTACCAGCACACGATTGAAGAGACTATACATGAAATATCATTTAGTCTGTCCTTCAAATCATTCCTATTGAACTGGAATGGGGATATCTGAGGGTCTATGGCGGTGTACCTTTCCAGATTCAACTTAGCACTTGAAAGCTTGCTTGATGAAACTTTCAAAGTTTTCTGCCTATTAATGCTCTATTCCTGCTTGGAATTATTTGGTGTAATTGAAAAATGGTGGCACCAAGTGTTAATCAGTATAAGAGATGTCCACATGTCCAACGGCCAATGCTCTAAACAAGTAGGGATCCAGAGCAGTGGAAAAAACAATGTCTAATCAGTAAGAGATGTCCACATGTCCACTAGTAGTAGGTTTATTCCTGTCATTTTTCGTGTGTGTTTTGGTTTAGTTTCCTGCTACTGTATGGTTGTTCTTTCATTCAATATATAAACAATAGAGCAACTTAAGACACAGGGAGAAGGATATGTTTATTCCTTCTCCTTTGCTCTAAGTGCTTGAAGCCTTGAAGTCCCCTAATTAATTTGTAATAGGGAAAATAGGAACTCTTGCATTGAATCAAGATAAAGGGAGAAGGATATGCACTATTTGTTTTGATGGGACCTGATTATAAGGTGTTGATTAAAGGTCTATGCATGTACTACCATTGCTACAGTTGTACTAAATACAAGTATAGATATTCTATCCTAGTTGTGCAAGCTGTCATAGGCATCTTGAGTTTTTGTGTAATAAGTACAATTGTATAAAATATATTAGAGACAAACATATGTATAGCAATATCTCACTTTTTTTTCTCAGATAAAGGAAAAAATCCAGCTTCATCTCTTGTGACCAAGAGAATCAGACCAATTATTACACCAAAATTAATTAATAATAAAACGTGGCTGACTCATGACTCAAGCCTGGTATTGTTTGGTCATACAAACGAAGCAAAAGAAATACATAGCGGCCATCTCACTGCTCGGGCAAACACAGAGGATGCATTCCTTGTTGTTGCCACATGCCACCCGCTGTAATTAAGCCCCACTGCTGTAACCAAAGTGTTCCCCTGAACAGTTAGCAATATCTAACTGTGTGGTTGTGTTTAAAATTGACAAGTTATGCCATTCCTCTTGCTTGTATAACTTGGAACCTCCTTGGTACTGTCCTTAAACTGTTGGAGTTGGAGTGGCTTCCTCCATTCTAAAATAGATGTTGTCAATGTATGTGCTCAACCTTTTATACTTGTATAAACTTATTTACTTTTCTCACATGGAAATGGTCAATTCAGAAAAAGGACAAAGGTGTGTTTTGAAGACATGTCAAAAATGACTATTAAGTACTCCTTTGTTCCAAATTGTAAGTTGTTTGCAGCTTTTCTAGATACACAATAAAACTATGTATCTAGACATAGTATATACCTAGATGCATAGCAAAATCTATGCACCTAGAAAAGCCAAAAGCGACTTACAATTTGGAGAATGGAGGAGTATCAAAACAGAACAAAGCTAACACTGTATAATCTGCCATTGAGGTTACTCCTTACAATTGTATGTTTACTTTGCTGCTTCATGTTTCTTCTTGTTAAGCATGTCCATCATGAATATTTGTGTGCAGTTGTTGTATCGAACTGCTGGAAAAGAAATTGTTACAAGGCCTTGTGCACAGTTGGGCTCCTCTCATAGTGATTCTTTAGATGTATCACAAGAGAAAATAGTGATAATAAACAGATCTGGGAGAAACTTGTTGGTGTTTTTTGCGTGAAGCTGGATCTAAGGACCTTGTAGTGTTGTGCCACAGATTTAGGTCATCCAAGGAAAAAGTAGAACTCTGTTAAGTCTTGCTGATGCATTGACATCAGAAAATATCAGCATATTTCGTTTTGATTTTTCTGGCAATGGAGAAAGTGAAGGTACTTTTGAATATGGCAACTACTATAAAGAAGTGGACGATTTCGTGATGTGATCCTACATTTAAAAAACACAAGCGTGACACCCATGCTATTGCTGGCCACAGTAAGGGAGGAAATGTGGTTATCCTCTATGCATCCATGCATCCACGATATATCTAAAGTTATTAACCTGTCTGGAAGGTTTAATCTGGAGCGATGGAATTGGAGATCGTTTTGGAAATGATTACATGGAAAGGATTAATCAGCATGGTTTCATTGATGTGGAAGACAAAACAGGATGTATCATCTACCGCGTGACCAAAGAAAGTCTGATGGATCGTCTTAAGACAGATATGCACTCTGCATGCTTGTCTATTGACCCAAACTGCAGGGTGTTGACAGTACATGGTGCTAATGATGATGTTGTGCCATCAGAGGATGCTCTAGAGTTTGATAAGTATATAAGCAACCACGAATTGCATATTATTGAAAGAGCTAATCATAGATGTGCATCTCATCAGCTTGGATTAGCTGCAATTGTACTGAAATTTATTAAATCTAGATGAGGGTAGGTGGAAACAAACGCAGCCATGGCATACCCTTTTTTGCCCCAATATTCTTTTTCTGCCAATATTCTTTGTAGATTAATTTTAGTGAACTGTTTTATTGAACGTTTATATTTTCAGAATATTACTAGATTTGGCCCGCTTTTTATAATATACAGGGCAAATGCATACACTTGCCTTCACAAATTGAGCTTAACTAACTTGATGGCATTAATGTGTCTTGACTCCTGCCAGCTATTAGTTGACTGCATTTTGTGGGAAAACATAAGCATGTCTGTTGCACAGGAAAATGAAGTTTTATAAGGTTTCTTTTTTCTATAGAAAACATATTTAAATATTATATGACCTTTCTCTAAATCAACGGCATGATTTTATATTTTCACTGTCCAGTTTGCCTGCCGAAGCTGCTCATCTCTCTACGACTAACAACTCTTTTTCTGAATGTTATCTTTTCTCAGCTCGCACCCAAGCAGAAGATCAGAATCAAGCTGCGGTCCTACTGGGTGCCGTTGATAGAGGACTCCTGCAAGAAGATAATTGAGGCTGCCAAAACAACCAACGCAAAGACCATGGGTCCCGTTCCTCTGCCCACTAAGCGGAGAGTCTATTGTGTGCTGAACTCTCCTCACGTGCACAAGGACTCACGGTTCCATTTCGAGATCCGGACTCATCAGCGGCTGATTGACATCATGTATCCAACTGCCCAAACAATTGATTCATTGATGCAACTCCAGCTCCCTGCCGGTGTGGATGTTGAGGTTAAGCTATGATTCTGTTGGAGCTGAAGTTTTCAAAGTTTGATGTAATGTGGTACTCATTTTCTGCAGCTTTTCTCTTTGATCCTTTTGTTGTCTGGGACTGAAAGAAATGTAGAGCCTGTACTAGGAAAGGTGTCCAGATTTGAATCTGTCTTGCATTTGAAGTATATTGAATGATATGGTAGTTGTATACTTGTATTGTACTGGCACCACTAAAATTTCTTCAAGCAAGTAGAATTTTATGACATGAGGACTGAATCAGGCGATTGATTGGCCAAATTCGTAAGCTTCTGATATAGGCTTCTCGTCCCAGTAGGATTGGTTGATTCGTCTGGATAAGCAAAATACTCATTCATGGTGGCTGCACTGATTCTGGGACTCAACAGACTGACGAAGCTTTCTATAACTTGTAAAGGAGACTTCTTTCTTCTTTTCTTTTGGCGGAATAACCAAATTAGTCCCTCATCTTTCGTCTCAAGCTCAATTTAGTCCCTAATAAATATGGTTGTGGGTGCTATCTTTACGAGAAAGTAACTCAGCCCAACTGGCTAGTGCGTGGAGGCATGAGTGCTGCCGACTTGGGTTCGAACCCTGGCAGCCACATTTTTTTTGTTGCTCCCTTCATTTTGCATGGGCGTGCATGCCACTGTTCCACCGGCGTGGCGCGTCCTTTTTCGCGCGGATGGAAGCTGGAGTCGCTTTAAGCAGCGCAGCGTTCAGGTTGTTTGATTTTCTTATTTCGTCTGCTTGATTTTCGGATGGCTGATGAGTGCCTTTCGTTTGAATGAGAAGACCGGCGTTTGAGCGCACATACTCCACGCCCTTTGGCTTATTTCACGGCAACTTGCTTTCTCTCTTCTCCAAGCGCCATTTACTCCCTTGCCTTCCCTGCCTTGCTTGGTGCTACTCTGCGCCATGAACTAGCTGTTCTCCTTGCACATCTACTACTACGGCATAATGGCCGATTACTTCTCTAGCTTTGATCTCAGCGTTCGTGTAGAAGAAGAAGAGGGCTGGCAACCTGCCGTGGGATCTCAACGATGGCAATGGTAACCATCTATTATTAGTTCCATTTTGTTTTGTTGTTTCTATATGCGCGATGGCAACCTACCGTGGGATCTCAACGACATCAGCGGTTTCATGTTGCGAGCATGAAGATGGCGATGGCAACACAGAGTTTCATCTGCGGAGCATGAAGATGATGATTGTTGGACTTTTTTGATCTGAGCGAGCCTCCGTTGGAGCATGGCAACGGTATGTTCTTTTCTTTTTGGACATGAATTGTTTCATTGTATCCGGTGGAGCATGGCATGCATATTAGGTTCCATTCTCAGCATGCTCTTTCATTGTATCCGTTGAAGATGAATTTGGAGCTGTAGATTTTGATTATTTACATAACCCCCATGGTAAGCAAGTTAGCTTTTGCACTTTACTGATTTTGTAATAGCAGCAAGCATGTTAGAAGATGCAAACACGTTACAGTGGTAGCAAATTAGAAAAAGACATGTAGTACCTTATTGTTCTTTGTTTGCATCTTGTTTGAGCTTTGCAAGTTCCAACTTCTTTGCATCTCTGATCTTGTCCAACTTGTTGATAGCGTGCTCTGGCAGAATGATGGTGTTACCATCCATTTGAAGTTTGGAGACATCTGGGATGTAGATCTCACGGTCGAACTTGTCCAGGTAGTCCAACCACTTTGCTATCATATCGTAGTCTTCATGTAAGAGGCCTAACGGGCACAGCGAGCTTCAGCGGCAAGCTTGGTAGCATTCCTCTCAGAAGGCGCCGCCCGGCATGGAGCGACACAATGAGGACAATGCACCACCTCGTCCGGCTGGTGAGTCCGGCGGAATTATCATCGTGAGTCCGGTGACACCGCATCGTACTCTCAATTTGTACCTCGATGGAGTCCGGCAGACTTCGTCAGTCGGGCAGCTCCTCGACGGTCGGCACCTCCTCGGAGTCCGGTGACTTCTCGTCGTCGAGATCCTGCGGCACCTCGTCGAAGTCCCGGCGTGACTGCTGCGTGAGTCTGCGACACGCCTGTGGTCAGGCACCACCGGTAGTTTGAGACGGTGTGCGGCGGCGTCGGCCGATCAGGCGGCGTGCGACGACGTCCGTGGAGACAGCGTGACGTCCGCGGAACCGGCGGCGCGTCGGCGATGTGCGAGCACCTCTCGGCGGCGATCGAGGCTCCGGCGAGAATCCATGGCGAAGGCTAAACCCTAACAAAGCGGCGATGAGCAGAGTTTGCGAGATTTGAGGCGATGGAGGAGCGAGGCGTGGCTGCGTCGGGAGGCGAAGAGAGAGGGCGGCGTTGCTTCTTTACCAAAGTCTGCGAGCGAGAGAGCAGGCGGCGCATGCATGGCTGAGGCATTCGCGTCCAATGTTTCCATCGGGAGGCCATAAGGTCAGCTTATCTGAAAAATGGGCTGTTGGCCCCTGACGTCTAGTATTTTGAATACGGAGGGTAATTAGTATCATTAGATAGATCATTGAATCTATTTTCATATAAACTTATTTAGAGATTTAAATGTTGTTAATATTTTCTACAAATCTAATCAAACTTAAGAAAATTTGATCAGCATGAATACCATAGCGATATTTATTTTAAGGACGGAGGAGTATGTTATTGATCCAAGGAAAATTTAAGTCCCTTTCATAGCTAGAACCAATGCAATCTCTTGTGAAATTAGTTTTAATGCATTGCATGGCTGCCAGGCTAGCCAAAGCTACGGTCACCACTAGGCTTTGCTGACTGGAACTGCTAATATGGAGCGCCACATCAGCATACTGACGAAATTGAACCAAAATCGAAAGTTGAGGGAATAGTTTGGTCATTCTGAGAGTAGAATGACTTAATTGAACTTGAGACAAAAGATCCACCTTTTTCTTTTAGTGTCGTTTTTCTGAAGAAAAGGAAGGCATAAAGTTGGTCTTTAGCAGCCCCAGCCTCCATAGTCCATGTTTCTACATCTTCTCTTTCCCTGTCCGAAACGATCGAGACGAGCGTTGCTTCGCGAGTAACATAAATCCATAAATTATGCATCGGGATGGGAATGGCCCATATGATCTTGTCTTCACGTTTCAGTGCTTTGGCCATCCTTTTCTTAATCTATCAGCTGCTTGGTCACTAGAAGAGTCAGATGCTAAAAGTAAATCTGATTAGGGCACTGAAGTGGCATATGCTTGTCTTCAGCTGTAGAAGTAACCCAACGTCACCATCAACTTACTCATTTCATTATAGCACCATTTTCTGGATTTGTCTCGGTACGTTTTGAAAACCATAACATGGTTATATTATTTGAGTTAGATGACTTGAGCTTCTCATGCTAAAAGAAAAAATAGCTGTTTTTACTTGATATATTAAAGAAAAAAAAGACTTGATATAGTAAATATCAAGAAATTTAAAAGAAAGTATTTTACGATCGCCACATATAGAAAAACAAACCTTGATATAGTACAAATACTTTATTTCTGGTGGTCGCACTGATCTGCGGATTCAAAAGACCATGAAGTTTTTCTAATTTGTACGAAGGAGACTTCTTTCTTTTCTTTTGAGTGTCTTTTCGACTGAACTACAACCGATCAGTCCTCAATGGTGCCACAAGTGGCTGTAAGAATAAGAAGACATACAACAAAGAATAGCGGTTGCCCCCCTCCCCTCGGAGAGTGTTTCCCTTTCCTTATTGCTATGAGATTTTAAAACCACCTTTGAAGTGTCATTTTGTTTGTACATAAACTCTCTTTCTCTATCTTAATTGAAAGGCGAGCTCTCGACATTGCATTAAAAAAGTTGGAAGGATCACCAAGGCTTAGAGATTATTAAAAAATAGTATTACTGTAGCTTGTGAACTTTTCAAAATGTAATATAAAGGACCAAACAAAGCGACGAGAGGGGATGAGTGTGAGTGTTGGCGTTGGATATGATCCAAATCACACACCGGTGAGGCCTTGGGCGCTTGGGCCGCTATGGACCGAAGAAACGTAGCGAAGATGTCACTCTTTCGTGGTGAAGAAAGGAGATGTTTACAAGAAAACCACCAAAAGGATAACCAACGTGTTTGCGTGATGAAGAACCAAGCTAGTTTTAGGCCTAGCAAAGAAACCGTCGAAGCTCTCGCTTGGGAGGGACCCCGTGAAACAAGGGCGTCGTCGGGTTGCCCTAGATCGGCCCGGCAAGCCTAGAGGCGCCATCCTTGGTTGTGGATCAAGGGATGAACAGCATGGAGGTTGGAGAAGAGGGTAAAAAAGAGAGGTAGTAGATTGATTTTGACGACTAGATAGTTGTGAACTCAATCGGTCACGATCCTCTCGTATATATAGAGCGGGTGGTCTTATCCCAGTAGCAACATACAATAGTATGACCAGATTGGAATTTGAGCAAAATATTTATATTTTGTATCTTATTGATCATGTTGGAGAAGTGTATGTTCTTGATTTGCATGATGTTACCCTTCGTCTCCAGGAAACGATCAACAGTAGGTGTCGAATCACCTGAAAATGCTTGACATTTCTTTGGAATAGAGGAAGTCGGCTTAGCCCGACCCGAAAGTTAACTAAACCGACTTGGGCACTAGTAAGCAAAGAAACAACAGGACGATCGGCCTTAGCCGACTCAAAGGAAGCAGCGATGGCGGTCGAATTGGCCGACAGGAATTCGGCCTAAGCCGACTCACTGACAAGCGGCGATCGTAGTCGGCCTGGCCGACTAGGAAATCAACCTAACCGACTCGGAGGTAGGTAGCGATCATTTCGGCCCCGATTCTATGAGCAGATGGCCCTCCTTTCTTGCTTGTGGGGTTTGATCTCCATCAATAATGTAGTAATCACTAGATAAATGTACAGCCCCTTTAGCTCACGAAAATCAAGTCTAGCTATTTTCTTGCGCTTCTCATGCTTTTCTATAGCAAGACTTGTTTTTAAGATGTGATTGATTCGGAAAGGATATTTTGTTGTTAGGCTTTGTAGCCGAACCTTTGCTTACATCCGAATCAATTCTTTCTTTTATG